ATTATTTTGTTATTATGCAGTCATTACTTACATACATTGCTTACATACACTGAGTTATTATTGAGCCAATTCTGAATACAACTACTAGTAGTATTAATAATATTGGGTTTATTTTTCAGTGAATTTGCCATGAAACTGGTATTTTGAAATAAGAGGGGCTAGACGAACTGACTGAAGACTTGCAGAAACGGGAAATTTTTCTGTTGATCCGCAACATCGATCGTTTATTATTCATGCTCGCATTGTGGTTTACAACCTAACTGTCCACACATTTGGACTGCGTACACTGGGCTTTTAGATGCATTTATTTTTCAATGCACGTTGGTCTTGCGGCAATGCACTAAACCCATTGGTTGCCAGCCATATAAAGTTTTCTTTTAATGAGAGCTTTTGTCCGCTCATTTTTCGGAGGGGAAAAGTAGAAATGAACTACATGCCAAAAATATTTTAAAGATCCTGACCTGAGGAGAAAAACATACTGTCTGTGGTGTTGCATTCATAGCGCTCAGGTTGAGTAATTATTGGAGCTTCGTATCAGCATCTCGTTTGATTATTTTCATGTTGGCTCATCAAAGAACGATAGTGTTGATAACTATGCTTATTTAGAGTGGAATTTCGATCGACTTTCTTGTTTGCGAAGTGCGATCGTCGGAGTGAACTGAATACTCCACGCACTACATATAATGTATCGTTCCACGGGCGTACAGAATGAGGGGACCTTAACTACCAAAAGCCGAAATCAATGGATGTTTTACACATGGAGAAAACTAAAAAATTGTACGTCTCCTTAGCTGCACTATGTATCTTAACGGTCTCCTGATAAGTTTAGCGAGCTAAATTGGTATAAATAGGATAATGTATCTCTACTAAGAACGAAGACATTGGATGAGAACCAAAAGCTCTCACTGTTGATCGCTTTAAAACTTTAAAATGGGAAGATGTATTTTTAATCAATTTGAAGAAAACAGAGATGTTAAATATAAGAATGATACCGATGAAAGCCTATTAATTGCGAACTTAATCTGCTGTGGTGCAGTTAAGAGACGAGCCTTCAAAGTGGTGACGATAACGTATAACTTTTTTCCTCGTTTGTTTTCTTTCATTAAATTTCGAAAAGTAAAATTTTCAGGAAGTAGGAGGCGGTCAATCAGAGGATTGTCAAACAACGTGCAAAATATAGGTCACGTAAGAAAGTGATAATAGGATACAAAATCACCTCTTCCGTAGTGATAGGCGGGTGACCATTATTACCTGACCGAGGCCGCGGTATGTTGATATTGTAAATTACCCGAAATATGCCAAGAATAAGTTACATTCTTGGTAACTCTATGTATACTTCATTTTATTGAGTACATGCTGTTGTAATAGGGAGGAGGGGGGAAGTGTCCAACCCCAATGCAAAAAGCAGGAAGTGGTAATGGGATTCGTCCTCCGGGGTGATGATTTAGTGATGTCACCACCGGGCCACCACCGCCCAGTCTGTTTGTGCGAAGACCAATATAGGGCATTAGTAAACTGATTTGGCTGTTTGAGAACTCGTAAACGGTGAGCAGTTTTTCTGAATTCTGGACGGAAATTGAACCGCGAACCTGGAGGTTGTAAGCTAAGATTCTCAAACCAGGACTGCACACAGTTAGCAAATGAAATGAAGTAAAGAACTACCCTCAGGGATAATCAGACTAAGTCAAACAAAATAATACCTACACTGGCGTATCCATTAAGTCGCATACTATATCAAGACTGTAAAGCCATGTGTTCAGGGGGCTTGCAGCCGGTAATTTGTCTCATATGTAAGGATTTCTTCTCTAAATTCAATGGTTCGTGGTTTTGGTCCAGCCTGTAATTTAGCAATAATATAATGAATGAATGCCACTAAGGACGAAACAGTTGATCAGTGCTCTGTATTCGCCATCACACAAAATGCGCGATTTGTCTACTAATGATAAACTCAGAACAATGAGGATTATCGTACATATATATATATATATATATATATATATATATATATATATATATATGTACGATAATCCTCATTGTTCTGAGTTTATCATTAGTAGACAAATCGCGCANTACATATATATATATATATATATATATATATATAAATTCATATCCGTCCCTTGTAAATAAAGCAGCATGTTGTATTTTTCATTAACCTCAGCTTCACTGATTATCTGTTAAGTTCTATGTTTCAATAAATAAAGAAAAGTAACGCTGTGCTACGGCTTCGCGTGCCTAATTCAAACATTGAAAGCCATGATGATGCGGATCACAGTGCGCTTCGCATTCTAATGTCGTATTCCATCTATCAATGGAAATTGTTGATGCCAGTATTGCGCATTCATTTCTGATCTGTTGATTTTACAACTTCGTGAAATCAGATGCAAACGAGAGAGATATTATTTTTCTAATGTTTATATTTTTGCAAAGTGGAGTTGTTTACGAATTAAGACTTAGTGAAATATTTTGCTTTAAGTAATTTGGCAATCTGTCAGAAAATAGCACATAAATTTAAACATAGTGTAAGATTACATCACCTTCGAACTTTTTACAAGTTTAACCAAAATTGTGTATGCGGTTTAAAATGCAGAAACATGTTTTACCTACTTCGGAATGTGGGACGTAAATGGAATAATTTTTGCGGTATAAATAGTGAGTAAACTATGCCGTACGAGCATTCTTCCTTTTTATAAATGAATAATGAGGTCTGCAGCGAACCTCAGGCATATTTGGAATTATTTTAAATCGAAATGCATGACAATTCAAACGCCTTGTGTATTTCAATTTTTGCTTGACTAACTTGAAGTGAAAACAATTTTGTGAAAGATTCAATTGCTATTCAGAAGAACTGAATTGACTATCACTGTGAACGATACCTGAACAAATATGAATGGGCAGTTGGTTTCAGTCATAGTATGAGCTGGTTGGCACATTGGTAACGCACACGCCTTCCGTGTGATGGATCTGGAGTTCAAATCCCGGATGGGAAGGTGGATATGCACTACTGATGAGATCTAATCAGAGCGAAACTCGAGTCTAGTGCTTTCGATGAATCGATGAACTGAGGATTGTGAAAGGAGAAACAGTCCGAAGGATAGTCAGTTCAAATCAATAAATCAGAAGAAAGTACACTACTAAACATTCTGGTCACCAGAATAATCCATCAGCTGTTCAATTTAAATACTTGTGTTCAGGCTCTGCAACGAGAGATAACTGGTAGCTTGTGCTTACTCCAAACTATAAACAAAAGTTGTCAGGCGCATTCGACAGTTATGAACCACGCTTCTAAGATTCTATTAGCAAAGCTCAACGATGAGTGGAACATAATCTTCCGAATGTTACAAACCAATAGAAAGAGTGAACGAAGTGATAGGCATAATTCTAAATGGCCCTTTGTGGACCCTACCACATCCGGTATTGTGTACTGATTCTCATACATAGAGTGTTTACCTTAGATACATTTGCGTGTGTTTTCACAAATGCATTGGTTTTGTTCAAATCCGACTCTTTGTATGCACTACCTTTATTCGCAAACATAGTTATTGTCCGAAACAATGCTTTGAATTGTTTCAAGATTTTATTTAGTCCTTGTCTGAACTCTTCATCGTTCGGAACCCGAGCACTAGACAGCTCTCCAGGAAACGGGAATCCCGTAAAACATTTTGTTTCATTTGAGGCTGGGAAAATGTCCCACTGATTTGTTTGTTTGTAGTTTGATAGCTGGTGTTCAATTACCGATCACCCACAAATTGTCATGTGGACCGAGTAAATGTCTTTAGTCAGAAGCATCTGGTTCTCTTTTTCCAGGGGTTTTATGACAAAACATTGTCGTGGGAACCACGTGATCGAAACCTTACCTGCTTGTCTACCGATTTTCAGTTTAATCTAGCAGTTTCACCCACAGCGTCACCAGTCGTCTGTCGTCAAAAGTGTTTTGTTTTCCTGAGTGAAGCATGTCGCGATTCAAAATATCCAGTAGTTCACAACACAAGCAATACATGCATCCAGCGCACAAGGTGATTTATCGGTTGGGTTTAAATTTGACTTTATTCAGCCACAATTTTGACATTTTGTGTGCTTCTACTTCGAAGCGTTTTAATGCAATAAACATGACACATTTTCATATTTTGGAGTTCCAATGGAGCTGCTAAATTTGTCAATGTCTTCTTTTTCTTACTAAAATCAGATATTCCTATATGGATCTCGTGATTGCAAATAGCCTTTCACTCCGTCCGATCGATACACATCTATTGCACACTCAGGTCCCAAATTTCCGCTTTTTCCTGCCATAATGAATGTTTTACGTGACATTTTCAATCAGAGAACATAAAACAACGAGATTGGTAGGTTAGCACAACGTGGATCCTAATGTTCCGTTTCAAATCTCTAGGTTTGCTCATTATTGGCCGGTAATCACAGGCTGGCAAACGGGGAACAACGACGCTACTAAGAGGTCCTTGTTCATTTATGTACTGGTAAACAATCACGGTGAATATATCCCTTGAATGCCATCTACAGTGAACTAGAAAAGGTAGAAACAATCGGTATTTCTTTGTGTGATTTACGACAACGCGGCCCACATAAGCAGTGGGAAAATCTGTTTGTACCTTGCGCTGTATGGTGGGTGATGATTTTTAATGCAAACTCGCATTAATGATGGTCTAACGAAAAAAAAAACATTTTCAATGTGAAACATTTGTCTAACTATACTCCCTGAATAAGGAGTTTTTGTCAGCGAGACGGGAAAGACATGCCATTACCTCAAAGCATTAGGCAGATTGACTAGAATGATTGATCCTCCCAGCAATAGGAAGCTGGAGAGTTGGGATCTTAAAGCTAATGTTCATGACAGTCTGGACCAAGTAAAGCACTTAGCATCTAGAAACCAATGCCACTAGTTAATACCGCAAAATACATAATTGATTCATTATCATGGTAGCGGCCATTTTCCTCGTTCTCTTGAAAAACAAATTCAAGAAAAATATGCGTTATTCGCTTACATTCTTCCGATAGATTCCTTTGTACACGTCACCGAATTGTCCTTCGCCAAGCACTTGTTCCAAAAGTACACTCTCCCGGGGCATTTCCAGTTCTACAAAATTCATAAGTGCACTGTAATCGTAAGGCGTTTTCAATAAGCGTGGTTTACGCTACTTTTGATATTCATTAGAGCCAATTATTCCCACCGTCACTTTAGATTAAAATACACTTGGGAAATTTTGATGTAGATGATTTTCGTTGAATACCTTCATAATCAGGCACAAAAATGGACACATCTCACACAAATTGAAACTCACAGATTGAATAAAACTGATTAATGACAGGAATATTAGGAGCGAACTTGGTTTTGTCTGAACCCTATCTATATTAAACCCTTGCGTCATTCAGAATTCGACCCTAGTTCGAATTAAGTAGACGAAACTCCTTTGCATCAAAACATTTTTCAATACATCATCCAGAGATGCTAACAGGGTAAACGATCAATCCTAAAATCAAAATAGGTGTTTATTTTTGTACGTCAAAATTGCTGAAAGTATTCGACTAAAATAACCATGTGTTCCGTAAGCAGTTATAAACAGTGCTCCGGTAGGATTGAAAGCATAAGTGAATCTTGCAAAAAAAACGCAGTTTCATTTCTGATTTGTTTCTACACAGAGATAAAGTGTTTAATTTTGCCTCGTACATCGGGTTTTTATTCAGTTAGTCAATCAAACTCTTAATTGTTGAAAATCAATAAATGACTTTCCAAAGGCATGCAAAAGATCAAAATCACCTGCGAACTAATTCTAATACCATCGTGCCTGGTTTGATAGGAATTCAATTAGTCACCTTAATTCCCTTTATGTTTGTGACATTTTAAAACTGGTTTCATTAGCCAATAAGTTATTTTACAATTAATGTAAATTGCGATAACTCACTGATCTCTTCACGGTTCGGACAACTAGCGAATAAGTATTTGTTGTCGGTGTGTTAACATTGTTCATCCGCAACGTCTAGAATATTGGCAAAATTAGCCGCAATCTTCCTTCAAATTTCTCTTTCCGCGAGGGCGTGATAGCATCGTTCATTTTTTTAAATTTTGTTCGCACACTTTCCTCTCGTTTTCTCCTTAAGGGAATTTTCTAGCTTGCCCGTCATCCATAAACTACTAACTACGTTGGCGGTCTTTTGAATAGGCTACTTAAGAGTGCTTTTTGAGAGTAATCCATTTCTTGCGGCATAATGCTATGCTATAGAGCTGGGATGAAGGGAGGGACGATTTATTCGACATAGTCTTCTCCACATCGCAGCAAACTTTCTCCAGTCAACGCCATAATGCGTGACCTGTCAAACTTTATTTATCAGACGTCAGCTTGGGTGATTTTACTTACTGGAAATAAACTTTACGAGAATTTTAGATGCACTTAAAAGAAACATCGATGTTTTAAACACTTAATGAACAATTAAAGGTCACATTATGGGAGATTGTTGGCAGTCAGTCAAAACAGGTGGAAAAACATTGTGATTATCTAAGTTTAGTAATCATAGTGTTCGAAACATTGCTCGTCATAGCAATGTTAAACTAATATCTCAAATAAATTATTCATTCTGAAGTATCATGTTTGTATTAGTCAATCTGATTGTTCAAAGACACTGCGCACTGCTAAAACTCTAAATTTATTTAGCCATCCGGAAAATCTGACAACCTTCCTCCGTGCGTAACTCAGAGGTAGGGGTTTCGATTCACAACCCGAAGGCTTACGATCTGAATCCCGACCAGGACATAAAACCTTGGCACTGTTGACGTGTGTAAAATAGAATGAAGCAGCTATCCAGTGTTCTTTGTCGGCTATCATAGACATTCCGTTCGCATATAAACTTCGACCTACTTTATCTAACTCTCCAGTGTCTGTAGGATAACGCAAAAATCAAGTGAACATGAATGAAGGTTTGGAAGCGTCTTCTTTCCAAATGTGCATTAGCTTCTAAACAATTTAACCTAAAGCTGGGCAGCGAACACCACAACTTTCGTGACCTTGTGTTTGAAGTAACAAGTAACAGCCTGTAATGTTGTATCTCTGAATGACCCCTGTTTTTACCTTTTGAACGTCTCACTCAATCTTCTTTGTTAGTGTGCAGGCTTTTTCTCATAGGAAGCAACCAGTGTCATCAAGTACCTTTAGTGATAAGAGGTGTTTAATTCTGAATATTGACCAGGGTATTCGGTCTCCTAGAAGGATCTTTTGAGGTCAATAGAATTTCGTCTAATAATGCAAATAAATTTGTGAAAGACATTCGGGAATGCAATCCCGTTACCCTATTGGATATCGAATTCTCATGGCCGTTTCACATGAAGGAACCTTTGTGTAGGGAAGGGTTTACACAAAAGATCATTGCAGGGCTGGTTTTTCGTAATTATTGTCTATTCTATATTTATTACCGAGACAAATATAACATATAATTTTAGCTAAGACTATGGAATTGAACAAGCTAGGTTTCTGCGAACAACAACGATATCCAATTTTTAGAAACGCGTCAATAAAACGATTAACGCTGCCAGAATTATTTTCTATCTGTGCACAGAGAGATTGCATGTGTGTGGTTTAATCCATTCTGCACACATCTTTTATTGATTATCACATGATTTGAAAAATCAGCTGACACTCTTATTCTTTGTGACAGCCGGTGTGTTGTAGTTATTGCTGTTTCACACAATGAAAGTAATATTAGGTTGAAGTATGTCTGATTGGTAGCACATTTGCCTCGAGTACAGATGCAGTTTGGATGACATAATAATGTACTGATTGCGTCATTGGCACATTCCACTTGTCAATTTTAAACGTTTGTTTACTTTTTTAATGGGCTTCGTTTCAACTGGCATTTATTGTTCCCATTAGTAGCTCGAAAACCAAGTTCATTCTTAGCGCATTGGCCAAGATCGTTTCAAAGCCTTTTAGTTTTTCATATAGTTATGAATAAACATTATCTTCAGTCTTTAGGATGGAGTGAAATGTAAACTCGTTGGGTAGAAATATTTTTCAGTAGACTTTATAAATGTAGAAAATTACTAGTTTTATTATTGAAAGAGGTAGAAGCTGAATGTATGACAGCTCACAAAACAATACCAGTTCCTTTCCAGATTGTTTGTTTAGGTAAATAATGGCTGTGTACAATTTTTTTGACAAACGTGTAATTTTTGAATTGTGTAAAGTATAGCAGCCTTGGTGGGATTCGAACCCATGCATGGACGCCGCCTACGCTTTCGTACAGCTCACACTTCACCATATGAGCATCAAGACCACACGTTTAGCACTCATCTTTTCAGATTTAGGTTACCCATCCAACCTACAGAAGCGTGTAAAATCCATCAAGCACATAATAAAAATAAAACAAAAATAAAAAGCAATTGAAATAAAATACGAAGGAAAACAAAAGCAGTAGTTATGTTCCAAACCCGTTCCTCGTGGCGTTTGAGTTTGCTTTTAAACGACTGCCCTATAAATAAGCTATGAAATCGCTTTGTTTTCCAATCAACTAATGCCGAGTGCGTGATTATTCAGATCTGTGCATTTTCGACCTGCCTGGTTAGTAACCATGACTCATCCTGCAGAGATATTTTACTCACACTATCTCCTCAAAGCGTGTTCGGCTGGAGTCAATCGATGAACTACAGAATGATCCAATAACTGTTTGCCCTTTCCACCGGAACTGCCCAACGATAGCGGAATGCCGGTCAGCATGCTTCCGGCCGGCCTGGATGAATCATACATATGAACGTCAGGTTTGCCAGTACCTTGTCTGTTTATTCGCTTGAGAACGTGCACAGGTGACACGGTTCAGTTACTCTAAGGTTTCTAAAACGAGAGGTAGAACCACAACTCGTGAAGCGTTTAGGAGTGAACAGATGATGGTGCCTTTTACAATATCCGTTATTTTCCGGTCATAGGTTGAGTGTACTTACTAACACACATCACGTTTTCCGAGATTAATGGAACTGCATCATAATGACTCTGTACCACAATTCATGTACTGGTGATAAACACATCATTAGTTATACAGTATTATTGGTCAGCATATTTACCATGAGAAAAAGAAATATTTGGAGAAGCGTCCTTTCACTCGTAGTTGATCAAATTACAGGAATATTGATAATAGTCAATGATATGAAAGCAAAATCACATTGCGGGGAAGAGAGAGTCATAATTGTGCGTTTCGTGTATTCGCTTGATGTTCACTATTCAGCGGAAGTATGTGAGCTTCTCAACGAAATTTTTGTCACGTTCTTGAACGATAATATTCTGATTGCTTCATTGGATTATAAGTAGTGCACTCATCCCTTGTCATTCTTCTATAGCCTAATACAAAAAAACTATTCAATGTGGGTTTTAAGTGCGAGTCATGAGCAACCTCGGGGTTGCCCATATACATTGTAGATGCCTATAGGTTGACAATAGGATAGGATACCATCTTCTTTTGAATTTAATACCTCCAAGCGATCATTCTGCCACTTACAAACGCGGAGAGATTTCACAGAAGCAACAGAATGTAGTCAGTATTGGGGATCAGTGCAAATATCACAACTCTTAACGAACTGGAACGTAGCATGCACCGTTTCACTAATAACCACACTTCTAGCACAAGAGGTCTACATGCGTGTCCTGTGCTGTACTTCGAACCTTCAGTGATGCCGGCAACCCAAATGATTTCAAGTGTAAAATGATTCTGGCAAATGCCTTCTACTCATCAAATAACGATTAGACCAAATGAATTCTACACCTCAGGAAATTTGGTAAATTGAGTTTTCCGGAAGCAAGCCGGTTTTGCCTTCGGCACTTCAGTCTAATGTCGGATTGTGGGTCAGTTTCACACATGACGGCGATGAACGATCGCTTTCGCGTTTATTTCTCTGTCCTTTCAATATCCATGCATGATGCACCATTAGACGGTTAAATCATGCACTATTGAATTTCCTGTAGCGAGATAATAAAAGAAACCAACATTTCAAATTATGAATGCCCGTGGAGGACTATTATCTGAGTTTGTTAAATTTCTTTATCATGCTGAATTGCGAGTCTCCCTATATTCAGCCGATTTGATTTTTGATCGTGTCACCTGGTAGTGATCGGATTGGTGAGCGTCAAGGCGAGGTTTGCAGAATAAAAAGCCCACTAACCAACTTCAAATAGCCCAATCGAGCCTATTAGCCGGACAATTAAAAACTTAAATAGAAAAGGCGCTGAAAACTTTTGGTGTGTATTTCTGTCTTTACTACGATGTAAGTTATGAGCCTGTCGCCGGAAGAAGCGAATTGTGTATACGCTGATGTATAATATTTTTCTGTTAGGTTACCAATAAATGCCTGAAGAAATCTCCATCATTTACGTAAGATAAACTTTGAATAAAGGTATATAGGTAAATGTTTGTCCTGTAATTTTAGAAAATGCTTGTCACCAAAGTTCTGGGACTAAATGAAACTCTTCGAATTCTCGAGGTATTGGGTCTATTCAGCCTCATTATTCCCAAGTGGAGTATGAACTATGGCATGTATTTTATTACACACATTTGTGTGGTAAACTGCAGACTGGGTGAACCCCATAGCCACGAAGACCTGCTGCTTCGTCATGGAAATCGGTAACCTAAGCCCCGCGACTTGGAGTGGCGAACCACACAAGGCCCCGATAGGTTAGGCGTAAACTGATCTTCGCTCTCTGCAATTTACAGAGAAAATTTCCGTATGTGCTGCCCTTTGGGGATTCCATATAGGAGCAATTGAACAAAACATTACAATTGGAGATCTACACTGAAAATCCGAAGATAATCGTTCAATACTGTTCCCTGTTTCTTACGTTTCCCACTCATGAATCATTTTTCTATGAATTTCTTTAAGGAAAAGCCTGATAACCTAAGTGAGAAGGGATAAAAATCAGAAATCCATGTTTATGATCCTTCATGTGAGAAATTAAATGGCTGATGAACCCTGAAACTATGTATTTCCTTAACCTTGTCAAATACAATATTCCACCTGGATTGAAACTGAAAATCAGTTGATCAACAATGGCCTTACGCAGCTGGGTAGTTCTGGGTGAATTTTAATGTAACTGCCATTTCTAGCACCATGAATGGATTATTATGCACAGCGTTGATATTATGCAAACGTTTGGGATACGGAAAATGAGTGTCGCTCATTAGATCAGCGGAATATGCACTGTTGATGATAAACCGGGATAGATAGGTGTACATTACAGTCAACATTTATTCTCTGCAAGTGGAATGACAATCCCGAGAGCGGAGAAGAAATTAGATTTCCACAAATTCATTAAACGATTTCAGAACTATCAGTCTTTGCTTGTCACACACACACACACACACACACACTCACTTTGCATTTCGTTGGTTGGAGTTTCCTTCAATCTGAAATAGATGACAAAACATATTGGTAACATAAACGTTTGATTTGGGCTATTTCATCGACAAGTTTAGGAACGGCTTTTGTAATTAATGGAATTTCCTGATATGTTTTTACTTTCATTTGATCACGCAACATTCTAGACCCTTTATCGAAATATGTGTAGTTAACTAACTCCAGAGTAAACACGTGCAAACAAAATCGACACTGTCGGACTACAGCGAAATTTGTTCGCACTTGATTGTAGTATTTTAGACATTGGCCTGACACAGGATAGTAATGTTTTATTAAGATGTCTCCTGAATGAAGCGTTTTATAAACCGGAGAAAGTGGATGCAAGAAAACGATCGAAATTTAGATAAAAGTAAAATAGATGTATTCTGTCCATCAGGATCATATACGTTAAATATCACCATCAGTCACATACTGATCACATTTTTGTCGATCACAAAATGTTTCAGCAAAACTCAGACAAACACTTTCGTGAAACTTTGAGTTCTCATTTTGTGAGTAAGGAGGGGAAAGCAGAAACACAACAAAGCTAAACAGGCGAAACATCCACAGTCGAGATATCAATTAAATGTTTTCCGACTACGGAAGAGCTTCGTTTTTTAATATCTAGAACGGTGGAAGCTCTCGATTTTCTAACCAAACAGCGCATCAGTAGAGATCTTTAAACTTGGGTTTTATCAATAAATTTGATTATTGATTAACATTCACGCAAAGAACACGCATATTTTGCTTGACATTTCCGCTGGATTTATTCGACTCCATCTGTGAGCGGGTTTGTTTATTGTACACCAATTGGAACTACAATTGTACAAATGTATGCGATGGAAATGTTTGTGATAACCAGCAGAGCACTGGACAGCTACTTCGTCCTGTTTGGAACTCGTCAGCAGTGCGTACGTTATGTGTCCCTGTCAGGACTCAAACCGCAAACTTTCGGGTTGGGACTTCAAACCCTTACCCCGGAGCTACACGATCAACGGTCATCACCTAGTTACCTAGCTTGCTACCGTAAAGTCAATTGTACAAACTTTATAAATATCACTTTAGTGCAATACATCTATCTAACTGCTTCATTCCCTTATACATCTCGTGTGAGAAAATAATCCTTTCCTCCTTCGTTATTGACCCGATTTTCAAACATTTCTTATGTACAAAACAACTTCCTACTTTATTTCTTAGTCATCTAAGGGCCGAAATTGCAAGCGCACTGTTTAACACATCCCTACGTCTGATTTTCGAATATAAGAACAAATTGTGCTCAAGTTTCGGAAACAGCGTGAATGACTTTAAGGAGTATCGGACAAGACGAGTGCGTTAATTCAAATAGTAAAATATTTTAAGTAGTTTCCACCCCACCCCCATTTTCTGAATAATATATTAAAGCCAATAGAAGTAGGTTCAATGTAACAGGGCTTGTCGACCAAACTCAAAATCGGGACTCGAGGCTCAAATGTCGCCCGTTTCTTCAAGCGACTAATCTGTAAATTATGATATTTGACTTTCTCCGCCGATTTTCTCCATGCCATCTTGAAAAGCAAAGTATTTCGTGTTATTTTTCTTTCTATGGGGATCGAGCAAAGTTTATTTTTTGATTTCTGTGTTGGCACGCATATAGGAACCTCAATTGGCATTTGCTAACTTGAGACATCTGTTGCGTGGTGCAAATCCGGCTGTCTGTGAGGGGTCAAGTATATGTTGCAACAGTTAGGCAAGTCCTGCTCTACAGTGCATAGACTTGGCCATTACGGGAACAGGATAAAAATAGACTGTAGTTGTTCGAACATTGCTGTCTACGTTGCATTACACGAGTTTGGTAGGGGAACCCGGAAGAGCAATGCTGATGTACGGCGAAGAATTTCAGGTAACCGCGGTCGTCCACTGGAACAAGTGATCGATCTCCATAGATCACTCTGGTTACGACATGTATTGCGCATGTCTTCATATAGGTTATTACGGTACGCGATGTTTCCGAGACAGGCAATAGGTAGAAAAGTTGATGGGCGGTCAGAGTAAGATTTAATATGAGGGTAAGAAGGCCCCAACCAGGAGACTTTGTCAAAGAGATCACATTACGCTACCTGAATGGGATACCGGGATGATTGTAATCAATGGTTAGAGACACTGAGTGATATAGTTGATTGTAGTAAACAGTGATATTCGAGCATTCTCTCGATTTCTGTGCAAACTTAGTCCACTGAAACTCTCCATTTTTTCATGGAATCTACTTTCAACTTTCCTGTTCCTCTCGTACTGCTCTATCCAAATGGGCAGCCAAAGGACAGCATCTAAAACCGGCCCACAAAAGTGCTCGGTTAATGGTTTTCCTTTTTTGGTTTCATTGTCTTACCCTCCAAAAGAAGCCACATTATTCATTGGCTTGACAGATCAACACGCCAAACTAACGGGCAGGATAATGCAGCAACTCTGACAGGATTTTCACTCCCTATGACAGGTTTCACTAATTCAGTACTCTTCTTCTGAAGATCAGAATAACACATCCTTTTTCGGAATTCAAAAAGTCAAATAAACAGTACCACACCCATAATTATTTCTGAACTTTTCACTTTCAAATGCGGTTATACTGATTCACGAATGTACCTCATAGAGGTCTAAAGCAATATTTGCAATGTGTCCATCGCACTGCTGAGAGGCGGTGCTTACTCCTGCGATTCAGATTACAACCTGTGTTGGAAAATCAGAGAAAAAGAAAGTAGACAGCCGCAGGAAAAGGCGGATAAACTTCCGTTCCGACATTGTATGCCTACAAAGCCTAGCCTCGTAAGTTAAATCGAGTTTTGTGGAACACAGAACAGTGTCCTCTTGAGGACAAAAATGAAAACACGTTAACTCATTCATTTACCCGGGAAAAAAATAAAAACTGATTAAGACCCTGTCTTCTGGAAACAATGGAAGTACAAATATTTTGGGGCAGCCCGTTGCCACCACCGAGTCAACTGGCTAAACTGCATATCCTAATATATAATTATTTTGATTTTGTCAATGAATTAGAAGTTCAGATCTTTACCGATCGATAAGACGTTTAGATAATTGTCAGAGGAGAACACAACGTGCAATACTGTATTGGTTCTCTTTATTGTTTATTTTTCCATCAATTTTTTTTACTTTTGAGGTTCTCTCAATCTGTACAAGTGCTATTTGCTGCCCGTCACAAGGCTGATTTACGAAAGACGTCAAATCGGTGGGCAATGTAATGCTCGTATTTTAAATGTCCTACTTATAGTCACATGAGAAACTCCTGGTCCCAAAAGCTATGATCAATCGAGTCTAACGAACATTAGCTCAAACGACCATCTAGCTTCGTTTTGAAACTGTTTTTATTAATTTGAAAATCAACCCAGGGTCATTTTTGGGGGGAAATGTTTGGTAAGGCCTCATGAGAAAACGGATGTTTTGTTCACCCGTCTACGCATGGAGATTTGTATGCTCATCGAACCGTTTGGAGGTACATGAATCTAACTTGTCAAAAGCAAATAGTCGGGGCGAAAGTTGTATTTTCCTAATTCAATTGAACTTTTACCAACTACTTGTATTTCCTTGCCAGCCAATGACCACTTTTTAACTACTTTGATGTTTTTGTGTTCTTGTGTTCCGATAAAAAACAAGGAAAAAGTGATATCACTTCAACGGCTCCGAGCAAGCAAACCATCTGCCAATCTTTCTCTCTCACATGAAGTTTTTCTCGCAAATGTGTGTATAAGCTGAAATATGGAGCGAGTAATTTAATTTTGTTATGTAAACACCTTTTATATCTGACCGGAGGTATAGGACTGAGAAGCTTAAATTCATCGCACAGTGAATTACTCATTTTCGATATTGGAAGTAGCCACTAAAATCTCTTTTTACCGACGAGTGCATCCCCAATTGTGATTGTTAAGGTAAACATGAATATTGCTGTGTATTTGAGCCGAGTGCCGTTGATGTGCTCGATAGCAGTGTGCTACAGACAATGAAAAATTTCGATTTACCGATCGCGTACACATTTAAACTTTAAACGCCATTTTCTTACATTCACGCAAAAGAACTGCTTGGCACATCTCAACCAAATGAAGGCCACATCAGCCGGGAGTTCAACCAGAAGATTTTGAAAGTACCCTAAGTACTCAACAAATCTCAATGGAAATATGTTTTCCCATAATAAAACTGGTAATTACAAAATAAATCTGAATCAAGGAACGTATGCTTAATTCCCACTGACAAACAGCAATTCATGTGCACATTGATTGCAATTTACAAGCTGTCAACATTGTTTAGTCAACAGCGTTCCCTGACGTCCCCATTTTCCAGCTTTTCGTTCATGATCAATGTGAACTGAACCATTCAAGCGTTCGGCCACATCCCAGGGCTTACCAACTGTCCAACCAGGACTTATCGGCTGTTATCACCAAATGCTACTATGGTTTAATTAAATGAACATTGGCGTTCATTGTTGTTTTTATCGTACATTTTAGACAGATATTAATTGAAGCAAATAAAACGCATGTAGTGTGTGGATTAACCAAGACTTTTCGCCAACCCGTGACCAGAACACCAAATATGGTCTCCTTATTTGCTCTTGGGATTCATTCCGTTGAATTTAGTTCAGTGTACAATGAAGGTAAGTAAATTCCATTTCGCCTGTTCGCCGAGTTTGGTAATTTGATTGCAAACGTTTCATCACCAGCCGAGGTGACATCATCAGCGCTTGTGAAGTGGCAGTGTTCTGCCTGTACCCGTTCGTTTATATATGCGTTCTTCTTCACCGACTATTTTCGTCCCCTGTTCTCACTGTATTCGACTCGGTCCGCCGTTGAACTGTTGCGAGCGGGTGGGGGTGGGAGTGGAGGAAGTTGTCTTTTCGTCCTGATTGCGGTTTCCGTCCGTTCTCAGGTCACGGCGTGACTTTTGTTGCGTCATTTGGTCCTTCAGTTGCATTGGCGTGTACACGTGATCCAGTTTGATGTGCCTGTTTATTGAGTTGATTGAAGAGTGCCAGGCCTCGAGAAATTCTCTAGCGTGCTTTGACCGGGCTTGGTCAATAAGGTAAGTACATTTACTGTTCTCAAGTCACATGCAAATGGAATTTGAACAATAGACCGAAAATTTTAAGTGCAGCTCTTGAGGAACGCCAGTCAGTCTGTAGAGCGTGAAACTCTGATATGTGAATAAGAAACCTCTCCACTAGGGAAACTCAATTGCATTTGGAGGGACCAGATCAAGTGGTCATTTTATTGTACTTATTGCCCACAAACGTAATACGTCCAAAGCCCGTTTGCTAAAATTCCATGAAATATATATTTACGCAGCAGTTTGGGTCAAGACACTGAAACATCGGGGAACAAGATTTACGCTTCGAAGTCAGATGAGCAGATTGTGAACATCGTTAGTGTTCCAACAGTGTGGGTTTTACTTCCAGTAACTACCACTTTGCCCGGTGTTCTGATTTCCACGACCTTTAAGGGTCGGATATTCAACGCTGTCTGAGAAATCAACCGATGAAGTTCAGCCACACGTTTTTTAGCTAAAACGAGTCGGCGATATACAGCTAGTTTGGGACCCGAAATGGAAATTCTGTTTATGAAAACATGGAGAATCAAACTAGGGGTCAGAATATGTTTACTTAGACATAGAGGTGACGGTTTTGGTATCCATTTCGGGAAACGAGGAAATGCTTTTTTGTTCAAAATAGAATCAGTACCGCTCATTGGGAGTGAGAAGCCGTGGTGAATCACATGTCGCTCAGAAATGCTGTGTGATTTAGAGGACGCTAATTATAACGAATATATGTTTGACTGTATGGAAGATGCGCAAAACGAAATCGACATACTAACAAGTACTGTTCCTCCATTCGGTATGTGCTTTTTAGGTTTAAACTTAAGACTGAGGCGGCAATACTTAGCACCACCTAGTCTCGCTTCGAAACTAAATGGCCAGAAATTAGTTATGGTGAATTGGTTTTACTACTCAGGTAGTTGCATCACCAACGACGGGAGTGCTGCAAAGGCGATATCCCCCAGTATTCCCAAGGATCGAGAAGCGTTAGCAGGACTGAAACACTTTGAGCGTAGACGTGAAGATTCACCGAAGTTAAAAAGTCGTGTATGTTGTGCTACTGTTCCTTCAGTTGTGCTTTATGGTGGTGTGGCCTTGAATTTGCGACTCAAAGATATTCATGGGCCATAAGTTTTGGTTATTGGTGTTTACGTAATTTAGCTGACGTCGGATGGAGCAAAAGGGTTAGTTATCTGGAGGTAAGCTGTAGTGTGTTTGGGAGCCTATCAGAGATAAATTTGTTAACTCATCGACTTTATATTAGCTAATTTCGATGTTTATGACACGTATTCTGTATGCCCAGTTTTCATCTACCGCACTGCAGTTTATTCGCTGTAACCGCTCTGGGATAGAGCAAACGACGTGGAGGTCAACGGATGACGCGGAGATGAGGCAGAAAGCAATGCTCAATGCAATCAGGTAGAGTACGCATCTCGCACCTTCCAGGTTGAAGTCCAAACTGATGCAAATGGTTGGTTGAAGGCAGTGAAGGATATGATAGTGAAGCGACAGCAGTATCATTCTTGATATCAGGGTAGAATACTTGAAATTTAAAGTATGTGTACTATGTTGACCAAAAAGATTACCCCTAGCTGAAAACAGGCGCAATTATTGTTCACGTTAAACATCCTTACAATATTTGTATTCATTATGAGTTTAGCAGCGATCAAGGAAGTTTGCCTGACTGAATTTCACTGTATGATGATCAAAATGATATAGTGTTTGTACACTTCGGTAATGTGGCGTTCAGAATCGAGAAGTTGTCAATATAAGTTTAGTGACCCATGCAATTAGGCTGGTATTCAACAGCTATGACTTAGAGCATGCGACAACCAAATAATGTTGATCCGTTAACACATATCGCACTGGTAACTGCTATTATGAACCTGGAGAATCGTTTTCACCATGGCAGCATAATATAAGCGATGTGGAATAATCTCCATAAGGATAATGTCAAATCAACGGGAAGGTTGAGCACCATTTACTTAGTTTTAGTATCAGCTCCACCTCGGGAAGTTCTGTCCAAGACCTGTTGGAAAGGACTTCAGTTTGTACAGCCATTAACGACGCACTTTCGTACGCCGGTTTTAGTTTCGGTCTTTTGGCTGTCTCTTTTGATGACGCAGTAGGAGAAGGCAAGCACCTAAGTGCATTTTGAAAATAAATTCCTGCACAGTTTATTGGGAAACGTGACTGCAATGGCTGGTTTGCATAAAAATTGAGATACTGCTTAAATCCGTTTTCTTACACTATCCACTTTGGAGAAAAATAGTTTAAGAACCTCAGACTTAAAAAAGTCAAATAATTTTAAAAACTACAATAAAAATTGATCAACAAAGAAAACAATTATTTGTGTGAAACATTATTTATAAGGAGCGGTATGGCTTTTGGTACAGAGCAGTACCACCCCCGTAACTGGGGTTGACAAATTATCGACCAGATTTTTCACATAAACTTGAAACGTTTGTCCATCTACAAGTTGCAAGTATTCCTTGCAGTTAAACCTGGATTCACTGTCTTATGGATTTTCATATATTTTGTCCAGGACAATTGCATTCGTTTTCGTGGATGACGACTCATCAGCTGTTACAAAGCACTCTCTGTTACTTCAAATGAATCAACTCATTCTACCTATCAAACCAAATAGCTTTCACACAGTGACTGAGCACTGCTACTTCATTCGACCGAGACACGTCATCCCTGCAATCTTCAGTCTCTAATCCCTCAATCTATCATTTGTAAATTGAATAATTCCTCCCCCACTGGGCTTTACACAAATGACGCTGATGCACGGTTTACTAGACCAGCCTATTTCAGGGTCAGTCCATCGTTCTAGGAATCTTTACCAACCGGTATGCGATGAGACTACCATCGTTTAATACTTCCTTCAATATAGTTGTAAACCGGAAAAAATGCATTCTCGTTCTACGCATGAAGAAGTTACAAAACCGAGCATTGGCGGGAAAATGGTAACATGCATCGTTTTATGCAGCCGGAAGCTGAGATATTGGGTCGGCTAACTCGTCCGCTTTTCAAACGGTGAATGTTTCGACCTTGCATAAGCCGATAACGTGACACACTCTGGCATTCATTCAAATACGAAATGACTCGGATACCGACTGTCTGTTTCGTTCCGTATATAAATGGATGTCATGTGACATTCATGAGCACAGTTCACTAATTTGAATAAAAGGTCACCTGAGCACCATTCACACAAATCAGGTCAACTGACTGACTGCACGTTGCACCAATTTCGAGAGTACAAGTCAAATCAATCTAGATTGCACACAATGTTCGTCCACGGTGGTGCGAATTTTCAACGAATTGCTATGACGCTTTTACACAACCAGAACCCTCATACAGTCTCGTAGACGGTTAGCTGAATTTGTTTCTCAGATTGAATGGTGCTTCTGGTTGTCTGATGAACGGTTTGCACTTTTCCTCTGTGAAATTTGTTTTAACTTGGTCACAATAGTCACAACATCGGAAAAGCAGTTCTGTGCATTAAATAGAAGCTTTGGAATAGCCATCCCCGGATTCATTTGAACTAATGAAAATAAAACGAGCTTTGATTTTGCCCCTGAAACTGTTTAGGACCATTTAGTTTAAACTTATACTGCGCAGTCCGGGTGCACTTAGTGCATAAAGGATTAGATGGGTTGGATTCTGGTGATAAAATCCTTTGGCAAACTGAATGTTGTGGATAAACAAGGTCAAAGATCATACCGATGAGGTGAGGGACTGTCGAGAGTAATGGGTCCATTCCCAGTACAGCAAATTCAAGGGAAAGGCCACTTTTGTCTTAACTGAATGTTTGTTATTTCACCTATCACAAAACGTCAAGTTTTGACAGTTTTCTAGTATTAGTAACTGTACTTTATGCTGCTTGTTTTACCAAGTATTTGACAGTTCCCAGGTGTATTCCCATAGATGTTGAACAAGGCTAGATATATGTAATTTGTTTCATTTTTATATCTGGCTTTCGTTCAGTGATCGCTGAGACATGAAACGCAAGGAATCGAACACTTGTAAAATCAATGTTGGAGAAAATAATTAGGTTCGCTAAGCGCGATAGTGACAGGGTGCAAACAATGAGTTCCTAGAAGAAAATGGTAGTTGTTTCTTTTGTCTAATGTTTCCTGCAGGCTATGCTCTACACTTACCGGTAGGGACATCCGTTTGGTAGAAAACTGTCTCTGCTTGCTCTGGACGTTCTGTTTGATGTGGCAGTGCCGAATTCGCTCACATTATCTTGCATGGCAGCACCGATGGCCTCACCACAGTAACCCTCGAGTAGATGTACAACCGTGTCGGCGGCCTCCTGAGTGTGAAAATTGAACGTCATTATTTCAAGCGGAGCGTTCGGATCGCTAGATTGTTCAATCGCCAGTCGAACCTGGTAACGAACACCATCCGGGCCTACTGTTTTCGAGACCATGACTCGCTTGATACTGGCAAAATAGGCTACAGTTCGAGGCTGTAAGTTGCAAATGATGAGGGAAACGTGCAGAAGAGTAAGAAAATGCTTATCACGTTGTGCGTTAACTCAGTTTAATGTAGTCCTTTGTTTGGAAAGCTGATTACTCAGATCCCTTTGCATTCTACCAAATAGTTGCTCTCAGCACCAAAACCATCTGGTCATCCAATGTTCAAGCTATTGTTTGTTGCTTATGAATTTTTGCTCAGCCGGCAGCCACCGGTGCCAAGATAAATTATCGACTCTTCAAAGCAGGCAAGCGCTTAGAATGCCAGTAACAGGGTGAAAAGATGTGGGTGTTTTAATGTAATGGTAACCTTAAAATTTTGTGAATGATTTTGTTTTTCGGTCTATCCTAGCTCAACAGAACCCGATCCCGAAAAAGATATGTACGAGTATGTTCTAGCCTAAAGATGCCGAAATTCTGGGTGTGGGAGAAAGTAGGAGCAACATAAAGAATAGGTCATTGTGTGATAAATAAGTGTGGCTTCTTGGGCATCTTGTCGAACAATATCAAACGATAGTTATAACCGGAGCAATCAATTCAGTAAGGAGAGCTTGTATGCAGAGGATTGAACACACATCAAGCAAAACCGTAAGCGCTGGCGTGGATATTTAACGTCCTATTACCAGTAACCTTGAAACATTAACAAAAAACAATTCAGCAATACAGAAGACATTTTAAAGCAAAATGGATCTCTAGTTCAAAACTGACTGACTTTCCAATTCTAACTGGACATTTACATTGATTCTCATTCTAGTACAGAACATTAGCTACTCAAGTTGTTTCAAGTTGGAAAAGCAATCACTAATAGCCAATGGAAACATGAAATGTGAAAGCAGTAGGAGCTATCTGTAACTCTTTTTGGGTTCTGGTACGACGATAGACAATCCAAAATGCGATGGCTCACCAACGACAATCATAGCTATATATACTACAATGAGTAGTAAATACAAGATTTGACGAAATTTCCCTGAAAACACAGGACCGGCTCCGTTGTTCTTGCTATTCATCAGACATGCGTATTTATGTGTCGATTCCGGTATGTATCTGAGTAGATACAGTGAATTTTCCGGGAATAAATTGTATCACAGTATACTGTTGCGTTTCTTGATAGTGATTACGTGCAAAATCAGAGACTTGATACAGCTGACTCTATATAGGGATTATGAAGTCAACAAGACAGACTAATTTGGAAACCGAGAGCGCGAAAGGTAGAACATACACTCGAAGAACTCAGAGCGGTTGGGATCGGAACCAGAGTGAATTGAGAAACGTTTTACTCTCCTTACTCATTTCTCTCTCTCAACACAACAACGGAAGATGATAGATCAGCCACACGCTTTGCTCCGTTCGTTTGGGAACACATCCAAAACATGTTGTCGTGTTTCTGCTTTGCCAAGTTCTTTTTATGGTTTGCTTAGGTATGGTGCTGTTTTATTCACCCTTCCAGGGACTTGAGGCTCAACACAGTTTGGCCGAAGAAATAATCACTAAGTTTCGGTGCTGGACTCAGTCTGTCCCAATGTAATTAACAGCCCCGGGAATCCCACGTGATCCAGAAAACTGTTGAAATATGCAGTGAAATATAACTTTTCCCTTTAAGATCAAGGGCTGAGGAAACTGCGAATTCATCAGCATTTTTTCTCTCATGTTGAATAAATCTGTATACATTAAATCTACTTTCGATTGCGCAACCCTTCTTCATTTGTCAACGATTTCTTCCATATCTTGTTAGATTCCTATCAGTTGATGAACTTGGACACACACAAGGTTAAACAGTTTTCAACAAGTAAACCACCTTTGTTCAAAGTCATCACGCAGGTTGGTACCGTTTATATCGAGTTTTATTAATTTTTGCAAGTAATAGTAATGGTAATAGTAACAACACCGGGAAAATTGAAAAGCGAATTCAACTGATTTACCTCAGTTTTTAATTTTCTATTCGTAATTGTAATAAAACAAAAAAGAGTACGTTTTGGTCCCATTAGGCCGGCCGATTGCCGGATCGAACCACATCGGCCTCGGTACGCAGTGGAAAGTTGATGTTTCTCAATGAATAGTGGCAATCAAAATTGACAGAACATTAAAGACCGCAACTTTTGTTCATTAGTGAAGAAAAATGATGCTCTGGGAGTTTTATTCCGGTTTATTCTGATCAACACAATAAAATATGTTTTGGGAACAATGGGGAACATAATTTCACTTCAGAATTTTGATGTGTGTTGTTGTGCACAAGATGAACATAATTCGTCAATTTTTAGCGGAAGCGCTGTCACGTGTCGTTCTTTCATTTGCCCTATGCAATACACCCATCTACGAACTCTCAATTCTATGTTTTCCATCCTGATTGATTTTTTGCGTAACATATATTACGTACGTACATATTTTACGTAACATATATATATATTGGATGTCCAGGAAAGATGCCCCGGAGGTACACAACCGGCTTCATGGTTGATTTTGCTCGCCTGTTACGTGTATCGGGTGACTTTTAGTCAGGTTATTCATTTGCTTGTACCCGGAACGTGCGTTGTCTTCACAAATAACGTTGAATGTAAGTGTTCTATCTGGTCCATTATTTTTAATTCCTTATAATTGTGATTAATGTTCTGAGCCGTACAGCTTTGTCATTTGCCTGCCACAAATACTTAGATTGCTCGACATCATTTCACTTGTTCTCATTTGCGTACCCTCAGACCAAATAAAATCAAAATGTAAGTTTCACTGACTTCAGATTTGAAACATTTACTTCAGAAAGTTCGGTAGAGCAAATCGTTTTCAAAGAAAATAAATCTAGCGTCAACTCTCCGTAGAACAGTGATATATTGTGTTGGCGTCATTAGATGTCAATTGAAGGGATATAACACGTAAAGTTTCATCAGTGTCCATCGGTATGCTCGTTTTATATTGAAACAACACCTAGTGTTGTCCCCCTTCTCACCACGTTCAACAAACCAAACTGGAATCAGTACTGCTCGCACAATCCGCATACAATTGACTGCCCCAACTAACTTTCAGAAGGAAAATCTTTCGATTTTGTTATGTACATCACACACTTGTCAACTAAGACTGAAAACATAAAAATGTAAAATTGTTAAAACACTTTTTCGCCCATTTTCCTAGCTTGGCAGTGTGTTGGTAAATGCCACATTACCAGCCGAATTGACGCCTTCAGTGCTTGAGGAATGATATTGTTCTGCTTCAATCCGTTCACTTACATATTTTCCTGTTCAGTGAGGTTTTCCCCTTCTCCTCGTGATTTTTCAACCTGGTTTACCGTTTAATTCGAACATGTACATGTGTTCTGCAGTCTGAATCGCGAGTATCACATTTCTGTTCTCGAGTCATGACGTCACCTCTGCTGTTGCATTATTTGACCTTTGAGTAGTTGTGGCGTGTACACGTGATCCAGTTAGCTTTGTCTGTTTAGTCAGGCAATGGAGACTTTCCAAGCCTCGAGTGTGTTTTCACTGAGCTTAATCAGCTATTCTCACTGTTCTGAAATCAAATATACGCACTTCTTGAGCATCATGGAATGAAAAAGGTGAAACTGGTTCATAGCTCCTAAGTACCAATTTGTGGTCATGGATTCTTGTGGATAGCTTCCTCCCGCTTTATCCGATGTGATCAAAATTGTCACATTTCCTCCCTCATTTGGTAGCCTCCCATTGGTCTCATCATGAAAATTGAANCAATAGATGGGAGGTACCATGAATAAACCTCAGATATGCATAAAATCGTGTGTGATACTTTCGCTGGTACATATGGGAATTTCAGTCTACCGGTAGGAACGAAAAGAATTCTTCAGTTTGGTGTTGATAAACCAAAATCTTGTCTTTAAACAGCAAACCAAGGAAAACAGTTTCAGGTGTCATTTTCTAGTTGGCTGAATTAACCGATCGGAAGGTGCTGTACTCAAAGGAAGCAAGTTGAGCTTTTTCGAATAGTTTTCCCTTGTGAGTTCTCCACTCACGCCACAGTTTGGAACACATTCCAAACTCACCTGATAGCTAACTCGCCTATCACTGTAAATCCTGAAACCGTGCTCATATATATATATATATATATATATATATATATGCAAACAAGGCTATTGTGACAAAAATACACTTCCTGGTTTCAAGTTTATAAGTGAACTGACAAAAGATTACCTGATACGCATGCCTAACGAGTGGCAAGAACCGCGAACCGGTCGTGTGCTTCCAGAAAAATTTTGTCTACTCATTCATATACTACTTATCATGAAATATATACATGGTTGACTGGAAGAAGTGAGGATTGTGCGTGGAGGTGGAGTCTGAAGGATGGTCAATTCAAATCAATACCCATTATCCCACAGAGTGATTAGATAAAGTAGGTGTCTCTCATCTTCCGGGATGGAGTTAAAAAAAACTCCGAAACCGCATGGATGGAGACACTGAGGATCATGGCTGGGAACCGACAGCAATGGCGATCATGCTGTCACTTCTCATCAGTCCGGGATGCTTGAAATATTATGTATGCACAGTTGGACTGTGTACTCTGTGTGTTGACCATAGAGGTTCGCTTTCTTTTCCCGTCCCTAAAATTAAGTCCAATCCTTATCCTCCTTGAACATTCTCACTTACCTCGTTTGTATTATGAGTCTGGCAGCAATTAGTAAAGTTCGCTGTATTATGCTGAACAATGAAGATGATGATGATCCCACACCACTACTCACAAGTAACTGAGTTAAATGTGAATTATATTTACTGCCATGCTGTCCGTAATACTTACTCAAATACATGAAAGCTGAATGTCATCTCTTGGACATCAAATAGTTTGTTCTTCATGACAATGTACATCACGTTCCACCCAAACGCAAGACAGTTCGAAATAATGAATAACACAGTGTTTTACTGGATAAAGAATAGAACAGCATATCTGTTTTCCCGTATTGGGACTCCTCAGCGAAACATACTGATTTATAAATGTAACCGGACTCAAATAGTACACCTTTGATTTGAAATCCAAACCTCTCGGATTCACTTTTAAACTTAAATACTCTGAGAATACGAAAAATGATTTGTTGTCTCATTTCTCGGTTTTGACCATGCGATCTCAGGGGGTTGGTTCATTTTTTGTGAAACTATGCTTCACACGCTAATCATGCACAAAAATCGACAGATTCAACCAAGAAGACAACGGCTTTCCAGTGTCATTGGTACATTATCAAACCGTTATATGAAAATACAGATGGTTGGAACTACACAAGGCAATGCAACTGGGACAAATCTGATCTGATGAATGCATGTTCTCATAGGTTAGGCCGACAGTGATATTCAAAAACAGAACTGGTGTTAAATGCAAGTTTGTATGTGAGGTAAACATGTTACGACTGGCAAAACCTCTGCCGATTGAATCAACTTGATGCTATTCATAGCATAAGTTAAATGTGGCGATCAATTTGTAAAGTTAAAAGTATAACGAATTATTTAAAACCTGGTCATTGGATAGTTTTCTCTTGAACCAAAGCACTACATAAAACAAGTACATTCTTTTCGTGCATTAACACTATGAATATTACACTGGTGTATTTGTGGCTCACTGAAGTGGGGTATTTTTTTATATATACAGCCTTCATGCTAATGCCTTACTGTAAGAATGCTGCGTACAATTTTACAAATAGCCAATGTATTAAAAGTTTAAATGCACTTTTCCTGCCCGATAAATGAATATCCGAGTTTTATCTATACTAACCGAGTATTTTTCACATTCAAGTCGTCTCATTCTACTACGCATTTTATGAATAGTGCTATACAGTTCAAAGAGTTATTCAATAATGGATGTGACACCTTTAATACTGTTTGTTAAAATTCGACTATGTTTTCAAAACTTTGCTCCAAAGTACATCATGAGGAACTCGTTTCATTGTAAAGGATCTTCACGTCGCAAATGTAAAATGACCAAAATTGCCAAATGCAATTTATGCCCATAAGAATTAAGCTGTCACCCATTCTAACGCTTTACCTTGCGTTTTCTGAGTACTATGGTCTCGTCCCAAACCCCGTTTATATATCTTTGGTTCAATTTGTACAAAAATGTTTTGGGATTCACAATGGTCTGACAATACATGATTGCGCGTCAAAATAAAATTTTATCACACTTTTGTTCCAATCCAGTTTTCAAGTTATTCTGTACAAGCGTAGCAACATACTGGAGTTTGGAATAATAATTCTGATCTATCCGTATTAGTTATCTTCCCGAAGCGCATAAGAAAGTGTAAAACTGAGAACGGCAGTTTAGCTCTTTTTGATTGCAGTGATATTAAACGAAGATGAGCATTTCACTTGACGTGGAACCAGTAAATTTGTTCAGTATTGGTTCATGATATAAAACCTGTGTACCGACCGAATGAGTGTGTAATGCGAACAAAACAGCTATTCACATTATTCAAGGCTTTCCCACTCTTCTTCCAAAGGAGACTGTAGTCACAATTGACGAAGAAAATGATTGACTCGGTAACCAAAACTATTCAAGAGAAACTAACCAAACGAATGCAGCGAGAATAAGCCAAAACTACCTGAAGACATACAAAGGGAGTTCTATGAATAAACCAGTTCAGCTTTGCTGGGATTTAGTTAAACAAATACGCTTTAATTCGAGAGAGAGAGAGAGAGAGTGAGTGAAGGAGTGGCATTTACCGCCGTCAATTGAGTTGATTGGATCAACACAATGGGAGAAATGGCTGAAATAACGAAGGGTTGTCAACACTTTGACAAACAGTGATCGGAATGTCAATTTGGACTGAGAATGATTAGAAAATGACAGTGTGGGACTGACAAAGATAATTTGTTCAGTTATCTCAATAAACGTCTAGATTACCCACTTGCCACCTTGTTGCATCATGATCAACTGTTTGAGAGCACACGATGATCAGCGACCCGTTAATTTAAACTAACCACGACAGATTTCACCGGAAGCAAGTTAGGACGGGAATATAGCATAATTGTGGAAACCAAAAACAGCTCGTGAAAAAATTGAGAAACATAATCCCGCATTGCTGCAACTATCATCTTATCTTGATAGGACAACACTTTGAGTTGATGGTCATGTGATGTATACTAATTAAATAAGAACAACAACGAAATATGTCCTGACCTTGAACGGATAAACGCAACTCTGTTAACCACTTCACGATAAAGAATTGGTTCTATACGAAGTTCAAGTGCTTGTAAAGTGTTTCCGTGCAAAGACGAGGTGCAGTGGTTCGAGGCCGCTAACGGTGAAAATGATACACACGGCACGGTAAAACAGAGCCAGGGGAGTGCATGTAATGTGTGTGTGCCTGTCTGTGTGTGATGCCGTGTAGTAAGCTGCCCAGTTTTTCGCACCTCTAGCCACGATCGTGCTGCACACTCTAAACATGATACCTGTATGTAAATTAACTTGTTCTCGGTATGATGATCCATGATCAATAAATATCCTTTATGCAATCACAACAAGAACCGAACTGATATTGCATTCCACCACTAGACCCTGGAATAAAAGAAACATTAGTGCTAGATCACAAACCCTCCAGTAGTTTAATCAGGTTGCATAGTATGCGGTAACCCTCCACTGAGGGCGATAACTTGAAGGATGAAAGCCGAAAGTAACAATAAGACTCATACATACATTACATATATCTCTCATTCTACATTGAGCAACAGTTGGCTAGAATTGTGATTACCATCTCAACAACTGAGAGCGTAGTAAAATGTAATGAAGTACATGAAAGTTCAGTTGAATGTAATCGGAAACTCAACACTATCCAGAGTTGCGTTGGTCCTTCGTTCAACATGAGTTGCTAGTGTGTGGGTATGTTTTGTATGCGCTTGTATTGACAATCTTGTTGTTGACATAACTGCACTAGGTCCTTGGGCTACTCGGTCCATATTTTACATGACCTGTACCCAATCAAGCCTTTCATAAGCCAATTATCAATCTTCGATGACTTTATTTCAAACCAATGTGTGCCTACAGGCTGTCGTTGTCAATTTTCTATCATGAAAACCATTGGAGAAGAAGACGATGACGTAGATTAGTGCCTTCGAAAGATACTTTGCTAGTTTTATCCACACCTTGGAGAATTGGGAACCAGTTTAAGTGATGCTGACTCAATCTTAAATAAGTTAAAAATGAAAGAGTAGATGGTGGGAAACACTAACACTTGACTGTTTCATCGGACGACACGAAAACATAAATAAAACACGGCATTGGGTATAAATCATGAAGAATTTCTGCTTTATAGAAAAAAAATCGGTTAAAGATGTTATAAAAATAGGGAAGTGAATAAATTCTGTTTCCTTCATTTATCCAAACTAGCCGTGTTTTACTAGATTGTTGTTTCACTGTCGGTGATGCACTTGTCAACTTACCTCGTTCGCATTCTCGATCAAGATAGACACCTGAAAGCGAGGACCTATGACCAGTTCCACGGGGAATCCATGCCCGGCCTGTATTGACAGAGAGAAAAGAAATCGGAGAAAGACGGACAGGTTAATTTGGGTCAGTTTGAACAACAAAAACAGTACTGGAAGCAGACGGTTGATTCTGAAAAAGACATATTGTAACAATAACAGGAAAAGGTCAATGTCAATCATGAGCCCTTGTGCAACGCGAAACCAACGAGACCCAATATACAAAAATGCGAGCCGGGCAATCTCTGCTGTTTGTGTGGTCTAATCGGACTGTCAATCAGTCTGGTAATCCAGGAAATGTGCCTGCAATCAGATTGCATCATGTTGACAAACATCTGACAAGCATCCACCGGATTGTCCCTGGGTCCGTTCCGAAGAAACAAATAAGCGAAACGCTGCCATTCAAGCTGTCGCCCAAAACCCTACGCATGATTGATTGAAAACATTTGTCAAGCAACCGCGTGGAATGCGATTGGGTGAAGGACAATACCAATTAGGAAGTGCATCAAAGAACAGTTTCTGAGAACGAATGATGTTTTGTCATAACACAAAAACGTAGATGAAAAGCAATACACCGGACAACTAATTGGTACTACCGTAGTTGAGACTGTGATGGTACCCTCAAGGCTGAAGTGAACTGTATGATCTATCACTATCCAAAAATAATAATACCGGTATTTGGATGATCAATACAGAGATGGTTATGATTCGCAGTTGTTTGGGTTTTAGCATTAAAATTGGCCTGTTATTACACGAGATTAGACGTTGGGTTAAAGAAATGTGATACAGAACAAGCAATTTTATTTTCAAAAGGAGCAGTGGGAGTAGAAGAGAGTTAACACATGTTAGACAAACGGTAAGCTAATGGTTGAGAAATACATGTTACATTCTGATCATTGGATGCATAAAATGTAAGGCAATGACAGATTGGATGGGTATTTGGAGTGGAGAAATTTTAGGTTCAGGTGTAATGTGTGGAAAAAGAAACATATTTAGGAGTATTCCCTTCAGGAGAGGAGGGTTTTATGATTAAAGAACAAAATATGGGGTAAAAGTGCCATGTGAAAATAAGACCAAGGTACCGACACCGAAAAACTAAACGTTGTTTCCTAATTCTGGCCGTCATGGAGTGAGAAGAGAGAAATAACATTTGAACAGATAGGGTACTTTCGTCTACATTACTTGAGACTTCCGAGTAACCTTCGGTAGGTTGTCCAGCAGGCAGTCAGGCCAGACATGCACGAAACCCTAGGATATGCAAAGTCATAAAACATTGGTTTAATACAACTGCTCACGTGTACGAAACGAATGTCAGAAATGCACCGATTGCAGGCAGTACCGGCAGACTCTAACCAACTCATACTTCTTCCAGTACTGATAAATCGAGTTAATCCCATTCATTTTGAGAAAACTGTTGCAATATGCGAATTCGATGGCTAAATAAAGTGAGCGTCTTAGGAATGAAGCCAGATCAGTGATCCTTATTTGGAGAATAATAAACTGGTTGTTACCGGGTCTCAAAGGATGGTGAGTTGGGAGATAAAGAACCGATTGTTAGCGAAGAGGTCTTAACTTTACCCTAGGGCTAATAAAGTCATGCTAAAAATACAAATTATTGACCGTCGATCGAGTAGCTCTGGGGAAAAGGGTTTCAAGTCCCTGCCCGGATATTCACGGTTCACGTCCTGATAGGGACACGGAAGGTATGCACTTTTGACTAGTTTCAAACAAGACAGAACAACTGTCTAGTGCTATTTGTCGCGTACATGTGTTTCCTTATTCTGAATGCTGAGAATTTTCGGTTGAGAGTGAGTGGAAAAGATATATATACATTAAAAGTCATTCAGTGGGTGAACTTGTTTCTATATGTGTCCAGAAATCCCGGTAAACTCTCTTCTCCATAGATGGTGGGGCCTTTGAAATTGGCCGTGTTGTTTTTTGTTATCGCTGGAGCTTTGGTTGTTTTCATCACACATAATCTCTGGGTATACTTTTGTATCAATTACGGTGACCTCAATGATAACCTACAACGCACTCGGTTTAATTTCCATACGAGTATCCGTGGCATATATCAACGAACCGTCCTTGCGAGCGTTTTCTCGTTTTGTGAGAAAAAAGTTCAAAAGGATCACCAAACATTCACGTGGCAAACGGAAAAACATCGCATTGACTGGAAAGTTGCACTTGAGCACCGAAACCTGAACAGCATTGATTTTCTGATCATCTTGTCTTTCAATTTTGCTCAATTCTTTCTAAGCTATCGGACATCGGTCTTCTGATTCACTACGATGAGTACTCCAAAAGTTGTATGCTATCTTTCCAAGAATCTTGGTTACAAGAAACCGTCGTGGACGAATTGTTTTAGATTGAAGGCTTCCATGTATTTCGAGCAGATAGACCTCCAGGAAGGAAAACTAAAGGTGGAGGCGTTATCATTTATGTCCGCCGGTCGTGGTTTAACTGCACCAAATGCATATTTACTCACTGCACACAAAACATTCCTTGTATTTCTGTAGAATGTAAACCACACTTTCTCCTGCGTCACTCTTTGATCATCTTTTTAAACCTATACATCACTCTTGACTGTATACTCCTAGTGAATTGTCTACCTTCCTGGATGTATTCTATCTAAGCATGTTGGAGAAATCTGTCACATCTGTATTCATCTTTGCTGGCGATTTCAACAGATCTGAGGTAAGGTTTCACACACTTATGTCCCTTCAAAACATTTTTACTTTTTCCACTCGAAATGAAGCCTCCTTGGACCACGTTTTGTTAACGAACCATCTTTTATCCGTGCCTTCAAACGTGCACCAGTAGGCAATTCCAATCAGTGTCTGATTAAAGTTTTACCTACAACATGTGGTGAATGGAAGCAAAAAATCTTGATGGAGAATGATGCACGTAAGATACACTTACGACAAAATCACCCGACCAATTTGATGGAATTAAAATCCATGGTTAGCGGTATGGACTTACAACAATTCTTCGATCCTGATTTTTCAGTCTTCTGTGAGAACCTTATCAATTAACTCAGCTATTTTTATGATGTGTGCAGCCCTCAGGAAAAGATTCATCTATAGTCCAACCGATTCATCTCCGATAGACTGAAATGGTTACGAAGGCTGAAAGAAAGGGCGTATCGATCGAGAGAAAAACTGACGGTCAAATCTGTCAACTTTCACATCAGAAGCGAGATAGCACATCTCAATCAATTGTATGCTGACACCGTTTTAGGAGACAAATCCTGCCGTCAGCCTTGGAACGGACTGAAGTTGCTCTGTGGTCGTTCAACTTTACTTAATACAGTCTAATGTGATATCAATGAGCTCAACAAATCATTTGCTTCAATGAGAAACGTTGTGCAAGCTTTACTGAGTCCAAACACAAAGTCACCTGATTTCCACCTTCCTGTGTCGATCACAATAGAGCAAGTTTTAGAGAAGTTAAATGCTGTCAATGGAAATAAATCCGCTGGTCTTGATGGCTTATCCCCAGTGGTCCTTAAAACAAGTGCAAACCACCTCGCACAAACCGTTTCATTTATCTTTAATACACGTCTGACAGAAGGAAGACTAGTTAACACATGGCGTGATGTGCACATCATTCCATTACCTAAGAAAGAAAAGGGTAAGTTTCGGCCTATTGCCTCTTCTTCAGTATAACTTAAGACTTTTGAGCGTATTATTATGAAACACCTATCTTCTAATCTTGATTTTCGTGATTCCAATCAGTCTGCTTATTGTAAGCGTCGCTCTACTTTAGATGCGGTTGCTTGTCTTACACATTCTATTTTATGCACTATAGACCAGAACACCAAATTGCTAGCGTTTGTTTCTTGGGCTGCACAAACGCGTTATCTCATTCGACAAAAACATCCTATTGACACTGTTACAGCGAAATAACCTCCCACCACATCTTTTGAATTGGATGCACGACTATTTTACCGACCGACGCCAATTCACCTGCCTCGATGGTATTAGGCCTTCTGCTGTTACTGTAAACCAGAGAGTAATGCAGGGTGCAATTTCATCCCCTTTTCTGTTCTTCTTTTATATCCAAAATTTGCCAGTCATCTCAAATGTTTTCACTTTTAAATATGCCGATGACATAGTAGTTGGTGGTGCATCTCACAACAACAACCAGTCAATCAACCCTAAGTTCCATTTCTGAATGGTCCGATGGTGTTGTTCTTTCTTTAAACCCCGATAAATGCATTGACGTTTTGTTTTTCATTGACTGTGGGTCATCAACTCTTTCTGGATCATTTGTTCCCAATTTCCTAATCAATAACTTAAAAGTTGAAAGGTTAAAACGCTTCCAATATCTTGAATGTTTCGGGTCTGCTGACCTCAAATGATCCTATCACGTAGAACAAACATTTCTTAAAGTCAGAAAGTTGACCTTTTATATTTCAGGCCTTCGGCATCTGAGGGTGCGCTTGTACATCATTTTCACATTTATTTTCTCATGCGTTTTATGCCATTGGACCTACTGCTCTCCCGTTATCTTTCCCAGTCTGTTGTCTAAGGATTTCATAATAATTAGACACCCTCTGAAAAGCATCGCTAGAAATGGAGCTGTATCTTACGAGGAGCTGGTTGATTCCATTGTCAACCAACACCTGAATGCGTGTGACCGTCTGTGTGACTCCATCTTGTCCGATGCGTCACATCCCTTACACACACCTCTATCTAGCTTCATTTCAACTTATGTAACCCGCAAGAAATTTAAACCTATATACTCGTACCACTGCTTTTCACAAATTCGTTGGATCTTACCTTTCACGTTTGTTGGTTTCTAGAGAGCGAATATCAAACGAACTTGTACACAGTCCAACGCAAATTTCCACGTTGACATCTTCCTTATATTTTTACGCGCTCTCGATGTCCGACTCATTATCATCTCAGTAACTATTTGTCAGATTTTAAAGCTCATTTCTAATAGCATGCAATGTCAAAGCATAAGTGATAACATTCTTTTCACTGAAAATTCTGTCCACTTTGGATGAATAAAGTGCACTCTTGACTTGACTT